CCCCAGGGAAGGCCGGGACATGTGATTAAGGAAAGGTTGCATTGAATATTTTATCTATGTTGTTAATAATACTTATTTACTTGTCTGTGTGGTTGGTAACATATTTATATAATCTTTTTATGTGTAAGTTTTTCATAACTTTTAAAAAGGATGAAGGGGGCCAATAATATGTGATTGTAGGATGTATAGATAGGTGAGGGTGTAATTAACAAAGCACTGAAGTACAAATGATGGGAAGAATTGGAGTTCATTAAAGTTTAAATTTTTATTGAGGGATTGTTATGCACTGGTCCAGACATGGGGTGGAAGTCTCAAGTAGTAATACAATGGAGAATGTAACGTCAGAGTTTTTGTAGCAACACTACTTGCTGGAGGAGAATGGCTCCTCCTCTGATTCCAAAGCAGAAGACAGTTCCTGTGTGTGTGTGTGTGTGTGTGTGTGTATGTGCTGGGAAAGCAGGGGGAGTGTGGGGTAAAACTGATCTCTGGCAGGACCCTATGAGAATTGCAGATTCCAGCCTGGCCCTGGTGACCTCTTTCTTATTCTCCTTCTCCTCCCCTCCTCAAGTACACTTGGAGTACATTTCCCATGAAGTTTGTAAGGACACACATAGTGTGAAATAAAATAAAATACAGGGCCTCTTTACATCTATATTTCATTAAAGCAGCTTCATTTTTTATTTCCAATTTTGTTTTGTTTGGCCCACGATAATTCTAAATCGGGACTTTTAGAACACTGAATTTAGTTGAGTATATTGAATCTTGTTTTTATTTTTCTCATGGGGATTTCTAATCATTTAATAATACTCATTTTCAAGGCCTAGAAAGTATTGACAGACAAATAAAATTGTAGTTATACAGAAGAGATTAACCAAAGATCGTATATGCATAGTAAAGGCCTGGTGCAGGATTGGCCGAAACCGGCCCGGTGCATGAGGTGGGGTCCCTCGGCCTGGCCTGCAGGGATCGGGTTGAAACTGGTAGCCCAACATCCCCTGAGGGGTTCCAGATTATGAGAGGGCACAGGCCAGGCTGAGGAACCCCACCAGTGCATGAATCCGTGTACTGGACCTCTAGTGGTAATATATTATTTTAGCACCTTTGGAGATTTCTATTGAGTAAAATTTTCCAATTCATGTATATGGCTGATTCAATGTAGAAAATTCAAAGACAATAGATAAATTATTAGAGCCTCTCTACTTCCCATCAAAACATGCCTTTGGCTACTGAATATGACTGTAAGAAATGTGGATGTTTTAAAAGGCAATGGAACAGTATCCCAGGGTAACAAAGAAATTAGCTTAGTTGTTATTTTGGTTTGTTTCTTTGTGAAGAATACATAGAACATTAAATGAACTAGAGAAAATATTTTGATATGGATTGAACTCTTCAATATTTTTATGGAACCTATTCTTTTGCTTATATATGTTCTCTCTTTTTCCTGCCAATTCTCACTTCTTCTATCCCTGACTGCTCTTTGTTTGATTTTGAAGTTGCTAGAATAAATTTCCTCAGAGATATACCTAAGGAAACATTTAGTTTCCATACTTTAGTTAGTGATTTGGTGTTTAAGATAACTAATAAAATATAGAAGTGCCTGAACAACCCCATCTTTTATGATCTATTTAAGGAAATAGAACTCCTTACCCAGAGTCTTCAGGCACATTGCTCTCTGGCAACACTGGAAGCGTCACCTGATGAGATACAATTGAACTGGACATCACCTCTCCTGTGTACACTGGATCCTAAGTGGACCCAACCTGGAGAACCTGTGATGCCAGGAACATAAAAAACAGAATAAGACAACACAGTGCATGTTAGGATGTAATAAATTTAGTTTTATATAGCCTAATATACTAAATTTAAGCATAAACATTCACAACAATGTAATATATGCTCAACTACATATATTTATTGGTTTTCATTTGCAGAAAAGCAATGTACAGAAGCACAATATAGTCAAAATTATTTTCTGAAGTGAATGTTTATTTGCTATCAATGCATTGCTAATTGCTTGCAATTTTGTCTCCTGTCATTACACTAATATGTTGAATAAAGTGTAGTCTGCAATAATAATTTGTGTATACATTTTAATAATTCTACATGCATTTTTTTAACCTAGATGCTTCTCTTCTATTCCAGGTGCATTCACTTAGTTGCTTTGCTTATTTAAATTTAATGAATTAAGATTTCAACTTACCTTGCCATACTCAGACACTTTACTTACAGTTCTAATAGTTTATGACATACAATATCGCATTTTTATATTAATAAAGCATCTCTTACATAATGACATTAACTATTATGCCAAGAAAAGTTTTGCTAGTGTGTGTATGTATTGCTTATATATGTAGGTATGAATGTAAGTAAGTGTGTATGTAGTGTGTAGTGATCTAATGCACCTCAATATCATTTAAGTCAGTGATATATTGTACAGATCAATTCACCCAATAATTAAGTATATGTGAAGGAAGTAACATAATATATATGTTAAAGTTTTATGTGCATAATAGCTATAATATCTTTCAGAAAGTTTATATTGAATATATGCCTGAGTTCCTTGAAGAAAGATTAAAACATAGAGGCCACAAAATTCACAATTCACATTTATCAATACATTGGCCTTGACATTTTTCAAATATTACCCAGTTTTATTACTATGTTCAAAAATTCAAGGAACAATGTAGACCATAATTCGAAGAAAATACATTCAACTGAATGCAGGCTGCTGAAATAACTTTTCGAAGACCAAATGCAATGACTGTTATGAAGAGCAATAGGTCTTCCATAGTTGTTTTCAATATTGTCATTAAATTCTGTAAAGAAAGTTCTTTGTTTTAAAGAAAGATAGAGAACTGATTTTAAAATATAATTCATGCTGTTTTAAACTTGACAGCCTATGGGGTTGTCATAGCAGCTTTTCAAATTTTCTATGTTGACCTGAAAAAATGTATGTAGTTACAGAATGTAAAAAAAAACATATACATCTTATTTTCAGAAAGTTATCCCACATGTTATCAGGGTTTGGGATTAACTTTTTCCTCTTGTTCAGTGATCCTCAGAAGCTATGGTGATGGTAATGTTTAAGTTACTAAAGCCAATGGGCTAGGATTGGGTGTAGGGCTGAGGACTAAGAAAAGGAAAGTAAGCTTAAGTCTAGAATCTAATTACCTAACATTTTCCTACTAAGCACCCACTGGAAACCAGACACAATTTTAAATTTAGAGGATATTTTGGAATACAATAATGATTTCATGTTTTCAATTTCAGAGGGTCATATCCTATATAATAAAAGCCTAATATGCTATGTGTCTGACCTTTTGACCAGTTGCTATGCCATACACTGACCACCAGGGGGCAGACGTTCCAACTGGTAGGTTAGCTTGCTGCTGGGATCTGGCCAATAGGGACCGGGTGAGAAGGGCTAGACACGCCCTGGAGCCCTCCTTCGGCCCCTTCCCAGCCCCAATCGTGCACCAGTGGGTTCCCCCGGCCTGGCCTGTGCCTTCTTGCAATCCAGGGCCCCTCAGGGAATGTTGGAGAGCTGGTTTCAGCCTGATTCCTGCAGGCCAGGCCAAGGGACTCCACCAGTGCATGAATGCAGGCACCGGATCTCTAGTATTTAATAAATAATGGCAATACATTTTCTTAGTTTAGGCTGCCATAATTAAATACTTTTGAATGAGTGACTTTAACAACAAAAATAAAGTTGTCACAGTTCTGGAGACTGGGGATTCCAACATCTAGGTACCAACAGATCCAGTGTCTGGTGAGAGGCCTCTTACTGGCTCACAGACAACCAAATTGTCATTGTGTCCTCCCTTGGAGGACTGCAGAGAGAGTGCACTTTTGATGTCCTTTTATAAGGGCACTCATCCCATTCACAAGGGCTCCGCACTAATGGCCAGATTACCTTTTAGAGGCCTGTCCCCCTAACAGCACTACACTGGGGGTCAACATTTCAGTGTATGAATTTTGGGGAGACACAAACATTGAGTTTATAGCACATGCTAACATAAATGAAAAGAAGTATGCACAGAGTGTTTTATGCCTAGGTCCCTGACTGGGCTAGATTGTAACTTGCAAAAGTTTCTAATGTAAGTATATGTCAGAGGAGGGATGTTCCAAATATTAACAAGAGGGGAAGATATAGATCCATACGAGAAAACAAATAAATGTTATGGAAGTAACAACTCCTCACCCTCTGACCTGTTTTAGCTTCTTACTGAAGCCCTCCAAACTCTCATAGGAATTGTGTTTTCCAAATATGGGGGATGGGTTTGTAGTCTGTGAATGGATTAATATGAAAAAGTATCCAATAAATTGAAAATAGATTTCAATTCTATATTGTAATTATATCTATTTAATATTATATTTTAACAAATCAAGAAAACATTTTATTAGAAGACATGTTGGGGAGCACATAAACACATATACATAAATATATATATGCATGCAAGATTATTAAAGGGTTCACATTCAGTGATAGTAAAGAGTGAACAAATTTCAATATTAGACTCTGGAATGTAAACTAACTAAAGTTTCACAGCTGAATAATGCTTTATCTTGTGATGCGGCAGGTATGGGCACTATTTTCTGCTTGTAGAGAGAAAACACGAGTCATTCAGCCCATAAGTATTTATTGAGCCTGCAGCAGGTGCCAGTGTAATGCCCCATTTTCAGGCTGCAACCAAGAACAAAGCAGACATTGTCTCTCCTTGTTTATATACAGAGTTTTGAACTAGCTAACCCCACAAACATTTTTTGGATCACGTCAGACATTTAGATGTCAGGTGTATGCCCAGCCATCTTAGCCCAGCAATATTCTTCCAAATTGTTCAGGCTACTGAAAAGTATAACAATTAAAAATATTAATTTGGGTGAAAACCTATTGCCAAGATAAACTAAACAATATATGCATTTCTCTTATCTTTCTAAAAATACATATTGATGATTTCCTGCTTACCAGTTTCATTTTTAAACCTTCCCTCTGACCATAGGAGCTGATGCTGTGGAAGCTCAGTGTAAAAGATTTGAAGTGAGAGCAAGCGAAGATGGCAGGGTGCTGTTCTCTGCAGATGAAGATGAGATTACCATTGGGGCTGAAAAGCTGAAAGTTACAGGTACTGTAGATTGAGGTATTGAAACATTGTTTACTTCTTGAAAGAATTTATCACTGGAAAAAAGCTACTTTATGAGGTGTGTGATCCCCATGTCCAAAATTTAGTTTCACATGATGTCACAATGTTTGAGTTTCCAACAGTCTTTAAGGAGAAGGGCCTGGTTGTGGATGTAAACATTAGCCTTGTTGATGTATAATTAGGCTGTGAGTCTCAGGGAGGGATAGGTGGAGGAAAGTGGGTATGAATGGTGGAAGATAAAAGGTAGGTCAAACACTAAATAAAGCTTTTTATAGGTGATAGACAAATAAAATATAGAGATATTATTTAAAAATAAAAGATATGTAAAAGGAGAACTAAAGTGTAAATACCAACTTTAAAATGAAGTAGGGGAAAGATTATAATATAAGTAAACTAAATGATTGTTCTTTAGGGCTCATAATTATCTTAAGAAGTATATAAACCGAGAAATAGTGCTGATCACATATTATTTAGGCGTTATTAAATTAGGGTCCTAACATTAGGATCATAATTCAATCAACAACTGAAATTGAAAAGCAAGAACAACAACAACAACAAAAATACACACACACCAAAAAACAGAAAGTTAAAGGGATGATTGGGATCAGCGAATAATTTTTAAAGACAACTTTAAGCACAATTTCTATTCAATTATTTCATTCACAACAATAACACATGTTTTATTAAAACTAGCCAAAGAGGCCCACATTATTTTAAGAAAGAAAAACGATGAAATATCTTTGACTTAGTGTTATCCAGATAGGAGTTTGGGAACAGCTTCTGGGATATCTGTCATATGTAGTTAGGTCCAACTTAATTCTCTGCGCCCTGTGAGAGCAGTTAGCATGGTAACTGGCCTCTGCTCTGCATGGGTTTTGGGGTTGAATCCTCTCTCTACTATTCAATATTTTATATAAATCATCTACGCCTCCAATTTTTCTTAATCTAAATGATAATGATAAATTTAGTGTCCAATTACGTGTGTGTGCACATGCATGCCTGTGTGTGCATCTGTATGTTTAGAAGGTTTTCCACACATAATAAAGACGTTGTAAAGGTTAGATCTTTATTCTTATTAATAAAGAGAAATAATATTATTGTCAATGTCCCAGACATGGCTGCGTGGACTTCAAGAAAGATTTACTATTAAATAACAATGAAATTCAACAAGGGTTGGTGAAAGGGATCCTCATCGGGCATCCCTGTGATTGCTCACAACCCATTACCAGCCTCATGTCCTATCTTTTGTGAGGGTGTCCTGCTGAGTAGCTGGGGCCTGTAACATCAGGTTGGTGTTTGGTTGTGGCCCCTATTACTGTCCATCTGCCTTATTTTCCTTTTTTAATTAAAATTCCTTGGAAAGGTCAGGAAAGGAGGTATGCATATGAGGCAAAAATTAACCAAATTGGCCTAAGACCTGTGATGGGGGCGAGGGAGACTTTAAAAAGCATGAAGATATGGTTAGTGTAGAACACAGACAAATCACTAAGGATATTGACTGTTAGGGCCCTTTGCGCTAACATGTGAATTGCTGGTTGGTAGAAAAGTTGGGTATGTGGTTAGAAATGCACTCAGGGATATTGGGCACATCTGACTCCAATATTTAGCAATCTTTGAACCTTGATAGTGCATACTGGTAATCAGCTTTGAAACCAGCAAAATTCTGAGATAGCATTTAGTGCAGGCCACAGTTACCCCAAAATTATTTAATCGGTATTCAGATATTCCCATGGGGTACTTTGCATTCATAAATGAAGGGAAGTTCTAGAGCTCTTGACAGCTTTTAGGATTCATGGAATTTTAACTTTCTCTGATCTTTATGTTACCTTCGTATCCTTGGACTATAATTTGAGCCATTAAGTCAGAGGAGAATGTGCCTCCTGAAAAATCTAAGTTTTTCTGATTTTTAATTAACTGTCTTGAGGCAGTCATCTCTGCTAACCTTTTCATTTTTTTCTTGCTCTCTCTCCCACTCTGTGAATGTGTGAATGTGTGTGTGTATGTATGTATAGTATATATGAATAGTATATATGAATATATGTATGTATAGAGGGACAACTACTTTTATCTCACTCTGGCTCTCTTTTTCCATTTCTCTATCTCAAAATTATACACATAACTGAATTTATTCTTCATATATTCTTGATTGATCTATATTTCCCAATTATCTCAGAAAATTAATCAGTTTTACAATAGATTTATGTACTATATGATTCCAGAAGATCCCAACTTCATATATTCTTGATTGATCTATATTTCCCAATAAAATTAATCAGTTTTACAATAGATTTATGTACGATATGATTCCAGAAGATCCCAAATAACAAAATAATGTAATCCTGAGGCCATCATTTCTGAATCCAACATAATTTTGTAAGGGCTTGAGGAATAGCACTGAGGATGAAAGAATGAGCGTGCCTCTCCACATTGTTAACAGATGCACGGAGAGTAACTGAACTGATTAGAATCACCACCACCTCCCCAAGTCTCCAGGCACATTTCTGTTTCTCACAGACACAAGCACA